CCTAAGTAGCAATAAGGAGCGTCTCACCGTTGAATGGCTACAGCAATCGATCGCTGAGATACGCAAACAACTTGTCGAACTACAAGAACTTGCCAGCGATGCCAATAAAAGTGTGAGCCAACGTAGGCAAGGCTACGAGGACTTGGCAACCATACGCAATGATTTTGCCCAGCTGAAATTGGAGGTAGCGGCGCTTAGGGAACGTCAGCAGCAAAATGAGGTTTTCATACAAGAGCTGCGTGAGGAAACGCTGCAGCAGGAGGAAGACTACAAACGCTTGCTCTTGCGTGCTACAGCAGAGCCAACGCCAACTGTTGTCAAGGGAACGCCACAGCAATCGAGTGAAGTCGATGAGGAAAATAATGAGGTGAGTGAAATGCGAGACAGTTGTGCCGCATGCAAATGAGTTTGATAAGATGGAGGAATATGCTTATTTATTATTAAAGTGTGTATCTGCTGTGAAATTGCCAATGCGATAAGAGTTAAGCTTGCTATAAATAACTTCGAGTGCTATTCATCTTAAACAACCGATGCGGTGGCGACCAGTCAGACAATTTTCTCAGAAATCAGCTGATCAAGAAAACACACTTTACGGTTGATGAGACTTTCACACTATTGGGATTGCCTTGTAGTCTCATTTCGAAAAATATTTATTTAAGTTTTTATTCAACTTTCTTAATATTTATTCGTTTAAATACCTACAAAGGTATTTCACAAGTGCATTAGAAGTAGTTATTAAAGCTGTTTACTCATTTTAAAAATAGAAAAATTTTAATTTTCGTTTTTTAGTAACAAAAAAATGTTATTTGTATTTGTATACATGTTGGCCAGTAGGGTCAAATAACCCCTATCGGTGTTTGAAACAGATCAATAAAATAGGAATGCATTTATATCTAATTTTATGCAATTTTAATAACAGTCACGAAATACAATTTATGTACAAAAAATATCTGACAAATTAAATTTAAAGTGGATCAAATGAGCTCAGTCCGTCTCTTTAGTTTTAAGGTCATTAGTTCCTTGAAGTTGCTGGCTTCCTGAACATTCAAAATGCAGTTTTCTGAACAGAAAATTCACTTGTTTTTTTCTTCACTGTTTACTTCTTTTGATTCAAGTGTACTGTGCTGTATTTTTGATAATACATCATTTGACTGCTTTACCATAAAACGTCGACTGCAAAAACGTGAAATAAAAACTGACACGTAACAAGTTCGAACGACACTGTGCAACAATTTGAAAGATCTATATCCATATAGTAAAGCCTACAAATATTTTTGCATTCGCAGAACAAATTTTTTTTTTCGGCCATAAATATGGAAAAAAGGTTTCAAACTGATATCGGAGCAAAATATGTAGTTTGGTACTTGTAATAAAATTACACAGGGAAAAAAATTTGTAGAACATTTTAACACATTGACGCTTTTTTATCATTGAATAGAGAGATTTTTTTATTTGTAGGTGAGGCTCTTGCTCGACCTAATAAATTTTTGATAAATATATTAAATTATCTCACCGAGATCATCAAAGTAAGAGCATTTAAATAAAAATTAAAAAAAACAATAGTTTCAATATTTCCCACTGCGGGGCGCACAGACAAAAACTGTGAGCCCACCCTTGGTGGGATGCAATATTAGTATTTCAGAAAATTACATCGAAGATAATCTAGTTAGAAAAGATTCTCTTCAATCAACTTCATTTACAATCTACAGATTGAACAAATGGTGCCTTAACAATAGGTAGGCTAAATCCAGAGCCATAGGCTTGCAGAGGAACTTTGTAAGTTCGCAAAGCCGAAAATTTCGAATTTGGTAAATATTTTGGGATCCATGGGCATCACAATAAAGCGAATAGCGGCTGCCCCTCGAAAGGCACTTCCTCCTAAGCTATCCAGTATTTCGGGGCTTATTTTTAAGTATCCTTTTTATCACTACTCGTATCTCAATAGCCCTTAGTGAACCTCAGCGTCTGTTTTTCATCCTTAGCCTTATCTAATCAGTTCGACCAAAAATAATTTGTATTTTCTAGCCTAGATATAAAATCTCAATAAATCGTGACTGAAAATTTTGGCTTTTACAAACAAATTAAAAATAATTCTGGCTCCAGGAGGGGCAATACTTTCAGTGAGTTTTTTGGGATAATTAAAACCTGGTCCAGAGAGAACTCTTTATGGCCGCTTTCTTTTCTCTACTTTTCTTATACATATATATATGTACGTACCTTAAAGTGGTTCATAAAAACACTCTTTTTGGAAATTTATAAACGCTACCTCAAATTATTGTTATTTGTGTTAAAAAAAGAGACACGTATTTTTTTATTTTGAAAAAAAAAAGTTTTCTTAGAGGTTGCGCTGGTCGGTTTTTTTTATAAAAACGCCGCTGTTCTCAATTTTTTTATTTTCTTGACATGTTAAAATGCAGCTTAAAATGTGCTTTTTACATATAATTACTCTGGTATTATTGGGGAACTTTCCCTTAATTACACATCTGTCTTGGACAATTAGAATGGGTCTAGTTCCCGAAAATATGCTCTCGAAAAGACACTAGTAAAATTAAAACGTTGATACTGAACGATTTACGCATTTTCATGGGTTGGAACTTGTTATAAGGGGGTTTCTGGGGTTGCAAAATAGGAATTTGAAGTCAGTTTTTCGAATATCAAAATGGTGGATCCAAAATGGCGCTCCAATTTTTTTTTAATTATTGGATTTGTTCGAAACCCGGCACTCGAGAGTTTTTGGGGTCGCCCATTACGAATCTGAAGTCAATTTTTTTTAATTCAAAATGGCGGATCCAATATGGCGATTAAATAAATAAAAATATAGCTAAAATAGCTAAAATAGCTGCTATAACTTCTACCGCTTAGACTTTGTTGCTTTTTCAATTTTTCCTAATAAACAATCGTGGTACAAAGCTCAATAAAAATATTTAAAAAAAAAACGTACTTATATTAAAACGTTGATACTGAAAGTTTTAAACATTGTCAAGGGTTAAAACACGTTTCCAGTGGGTTTCTGGGGTTGCTGATTGCGAATCTGATGTCAGATATTCAAAATTCAAACCCGCTTATAACAAGTTCCAACCCATGACAATGCGTAAATCGTTCAGTATCAACGTTTTAATTTTACTAGTGTCTTTCGAGAGCATATTTTCGGGAACTAGACCCATTCTAATTGTCCAAGACAGGTGTGTAATTAAGGGAAGGTTCCCCAATAATACCAGAGTAATTATATGTAAAAGCCACATTTTTAGCTGTATTTTAACATGTCAAGAAAAAAAAATTGAGAACATGAGCGTTTTTATAAAAAAACCGACCAGCGCAACCTCTAAGAAAAAAAACGTGTATCTTTTTTTAGCACAAATAACAATAATTTGAGGTAGCGTTTATTAATTTCCAAAAAAAAAAAATTTAACCACTCTAACGTACATATGTATGTATATTCTACAAAAATGCCAGTGCAACATAATACAAATGTTTTGTTTTAAAGAAGATTATAAATAAAATTTAACTCAGATTTTGGTATTCAATAACATAAAAGACGCTAGAGACAAGCAAGCAAGCTAGTTTTGTTAAAGATCGAAGCAAGAAATCACCAACATTTATCAAATTGTATTATCAGGTTAATTAACAAAAAAGTTTACCATAATCTCAAAAAAACTACTTAAAGTGGTCAAATATATTATTGAGTCGATTTTCAAAAACTTAATAACAAACGTTCTAATAATTAAGTATTGCATGCTTTTCTTAATGATTTTATTACATCCAAAAGCAAATAATGACTGCTCCATGAAAACATTAAACCTTTTTAACGCGTTTATTTTACATTGAATACCATATTTGTCCTTGAAAGGCGCCTCCTTAAACGATTGCATAAAAAATTATATTTTGTGGGTTAAAATCGTTCCAAATGTATAAATAAGTTTGTACGTACATACGTGTGTAGTACATATGTACGTATTATGTATGTAAGTATGTAAATAATTGCTCCCACAGCAGCAAGAATTTCGCGTGCACTAATCTACATTTTAATCTAACACTAATTCCCTAATAACCACTAAGTGATGGCCCCAAAACGCTAGTCACGCAAACACATACATACATACATGTACTAGTTAAGGGAGTTACATTTGTGTTGCTCGCGAACATGATTCAACAAAATGACGCTGAACTAACCATGTTCAACAATTCAACAAGCTGCCAATCAATTCAATGCTGCCAAGTGGTTTATAAGCCACCGTAGTGAATAACTACTGTGGCAGCTGTTGGTCTCATCATTGTAATGTGTGCAATGTAAATACATATGCATAGATTCATACATATGTATGAACTAGAGTGATAGGTAAATCCTCACTACATATTCGCGCAGTCCTTTCCATCATGCTACAAAAAAAAAAAATGTAAAATACAGCTGCACATTGGGGAGCTGTTAACTGCCGACAGAATTAATTTTATTTAGCGTAAATTTGCGAATATTTCAATGCAACTATGCAAAAGAGCACACATAAGCTGTGAACTTTTACTACATAATAATTCCATTTGTGATTATTTTTCAAAGTGAACAAGCGATTTGGGGTAAAAAAAATCTTACTTTTCACAAGTGCTATAGTTAGAATTTTGCACATCAATGGAGTTTAGAGTCATCTTCATACTCAGGAGTGGTAGGCAAAGCACACTGGTTCCCTGGAACATGAGGAAAGCCCTAAGAACTCTATCTTTTGGCACCCAGATTATAATGTTTGATTTCACTTAGTTAAGTTTATTTTAAAAATATTTTCGAAATAAAGCTATCTCTCGTTTAGTAACCACATACAAAAGTATTTCTTTTAACTTACTGATTAACTTGGTTAAGAATTTCTAAACAAAAGCAAACCTTCTAAAAATTATTTTCGAAATAAACCTTTCATCTCGCTAATGTGACACCCACACTAAAATATTTCGTAAATGTAATTTTTTAGTTAAATTGTTTTTAAATTCCTAACCAGGTGGAAACCTTCTTCAGAAATATTTCAATAATAGAGCTCTCTAAAACATCTCTCATTTGATACCCATATAGAATATGTAATTTAAGTTGTTAATTAAATTTATTTTGGCTTCCTAAAATGGTAGCAACCCTCTTCAAGCATATTGTAGAAATAAAGCATAATTTATCTTGCTAATTAAGTTAATTTTGAATTTCCAAAAATATTTTCATTTTGTACGCTAAAACAGCTGGCAAGCCTCCTAAAAACCATTAAAGGCTCTCTCCTAAAATATCCATATACAAAAATTTCATTTAACTTGCTAATTAAATTGATTTTAACTTTTTGAACAGCTGGCAACCCTCTTCAAAATTATTTTTTAGTAAATCGTTTTAGAACTTAATTGTTGTAT